GAGGAAACTGTGTCCTAAACCCCTAAACCGAATCGAAGCGGTGTCGGGGTTTGCATTCTAGGGCGGAATCTGTGTCCTAAACCCCTAAACCCTAAGTATTAAAGGAAATCGAAGTGGGGTCGGGGTTTGCTTTCTAGGGATCTGTGTCCTCGATTGCATTTGTATTATAAGGTTTGATTTGAACCACAGGCGGCTCTACCCTAATGGCTTCTGTAATTTATAAATATGATTTGTCAAATTTACAGGTTCTGGGTCAACTCCAGGGTGGGTGTGGGTGTGCAAGCGGTGGGTCGGAGATGTCCAGTGATGCTCGTCCACGAGCATGTCGTAACACCAATCGGTGTTCCAATGCTCTTGATGCTGAAGAGACGGCGATTGTCAGTTGAATACAGCCGTCCGCCATGCAAACGCGACCCTGATGCTCGTGATGTCTCCGCAGGTCGCATTTCGCGCCGTGCTGCAGGTCGCTCATAGACTCCATGATCGGTCGACGCGTAGTCTGTGACACTTCCGATGCTCATGATGACCCAAACCCTGATTAGCCCTAGCCTTAAACCATACCCGGCCCCTCCCGGCCCCTTAATCACTCGAGCAGGGCGACACTTAGACCCTCAAGCCATGAAGTCCTAGAATATTAATATATATAAACCCCAAATCCTAAAGCCTTCAAAGCTAAACCATTAATTCCCAAGCCCGAGACCCTTAAACTTTCTTTACCCTATATTTTACAGTTCTATGGAAACCCGATACAAGTTTAATTCCCAAGCCCGAGGCCCTTAAACCCTCTTCCATTCCCCTATATTTACTTTCTATGGAAACCCGATACAACTCGAGAGCCTAAGCAATCCTGTTTCGCCTATGGCAAAACCACACAACTAACTGATGAAACTATGTACATCAACAACTAGGAGTGTTGGGTTTCCGATGCCGGTTTAAACCACATCCCCGCTGTTGTGAACTACCGTCCAGATAGAATCTACATTCCTGTGGAGGAAACCTTGTACTTGTAGGGAGAAACCTGAGTAACTCTGTGGTTATTTGGTACAAAACCTGCTACAATATGCTATGAATGGCCCGAACTGCAAGGAAACCCAGTAGGTTCTGAAAGGGCATCTAGGAATCGTGAATTTCCTAGCAAAAATTCACACTATCTGAAGGAAAACCCTATAAAGTAGTGTAAATCCCAGCAGAAACCATACTCCCAGTGCAATATCTAGATGGACTCCTACGTTTCCAGGAGGGAAATCTCTAGGAGTCTTGAATTTCCTAGCAAAAACCACATAAAGTAGTGTAAATCCTAGCAGAAACCATACTCCCAGTGCAATATCTCGAGGGAATCCTACGTTTCCACGAGGAAATCTCTAGGAGTCTTGTAATTTCCTAGCAAATACCACACTATCTGAAGGCAAACCCCATAAAGTAGTGTAAATCCTAGCAGAAACCATACTCCCAGTGCAATATCTCGAAGGAATCCTACGTTTCCATGAAGAAATCTCTAGGAGTCTTGTAATTTCCTAGCAAATACCACACTATCTGAAGGCAAACCCCATAAAGTAGTGTAAATCCTAACAGAAACCATACTCCCAGTGCAATAT